GTTAGGGGGTCCTGGTCAGAGACCATCCCATCGGTCTGTTCTCAGCACTGGGGTCCTGAGTTAGGGGGTCCTGGTCAGAGACCATCCCATCGGTCCGTTCTCAGCACTGGGGTCCTGAGTTAGGGGGTCCTGCTCAGAAGCAAAGCGCTGTGTTTGCCTCTTCTCCCTGATTTCTTCTAGTCATTTTGTTGGTTCGTTTTGGTTTTCGAAACAGGGACCCTCTCCAGAGCCAACTAGCAGAAATCCTCTAGCACTCTCAAGTACTGGAATTTCAGGCAGGAGTCAGTATTTAGTCTTTTTTTTTTTTTAAACGATTTCATACCCACATCTGCTGTTTTAATAAATTTTGGTCCCAGGTGCCTTTTCTTTGAATCAAAGCTGTTGTGAATGAGGCTGTTTTCCTGATTTCTTTCTCAGAATAGTTGTTACTGGTAAATAGAAGAGTTCCTGGGTTTTGTATGTTGATTTTGAACACTGATATGTTGCTAAAATTGTCTATCAGATCTAAGAGGTTCCTTCCTCCCCCTCCTCACTCCCTCCCTCCTTTTCTCCTGATGTTCAAGGTCAAGAAAGCTAACAAATGCCACAATTCATTGAAGTTCAAAACCACTTGCCCAGTACCAATGAAAGAATTCTGTTTAGGAGTGTACTGGGCAGACTACTGCGGATGAAAACCCTCAACCTAAACAGACTCTTATAACTAGTTCACATCCCAACACTCCCAACAGAACGCTAAGGCCACCCTCTGGTGTTGGAGGGGCATGCTTCCAGCCAGTGACAACTGCCAGGCCCTGGAAATTCACAGACGAGTACCCAAGTCCTCCATGGGACCCAGGATGACAGACAGCTAAGGTCACAAGCATCACCCTGTTTCCAGATGACTCAAGGGCTCATCAGAATACCAAAATAGCTTTAGTTCCAGAACACAAAAGAAGAAATAAAAACTACATGACCCATGAACCACCTAAAGGTTAAACCATGCCCTTTTCTTGGTAGAGGGAAGAAGTACAATAGAGGGGATTTCTAGACTTTAATATGTTTTAATTTTTCTAAATGTTGCACACAAAAAACCCAAAATATAGTCCTCCTGTTCTCCAGAATCACAAAGAGAGCTGTCAACTACCCCTCCCCTTGCCAGGAATCACCATCAAAATTTCAAAATCTTATGTTTATCCTGTTCTTTCCATCCTGGTGCCTGAAGCCACAGCTGCTGTCCCTCTTAGCGGCTGCTCACACTTCCTGTAGTCTGAGAAGTAGTGTTGGCTAGATGAAGGACTTTATGTATAAAATTCTTTATTCTCTGCAAAAAATATTTATTTATTTATTTATTATTCGTTCGTTCATTCATTCATTTATTTAATTATTTATTTGATGTGTTCCTGTAGCTAGAGTTTTCCTTCTTTGCCCACAGTCAGGACAAATCTTTGTCACCTGCCAGTCCCACAGCTGCTCAGACCCAACCAAGTAAACACAGAGACTTATATTGCTTACAAACTGTATGGCCGTGGCAGGCTTCTTGCTAACTGTTCTTACAACTTAAATTAATCCATTTCCATAAATCTATACCTTGCCACATGGCTCGTGGCTTACTGGCATCTTCAGATGCTGCTTGTCATGGTGGCGGCTGTCAGTGACTCCTTCTGCCTTCCTGTTCTTTCTTTTCTCCTCTCTGTTAGTCCCGCCTATACTTCCTGCCTGGCCACTGGCCAATCAGTGTTTTATTTATTGACCAATCAGAGCAATTTGACATACAGACCATCCCACAGCGTGTGTGTGTGCACTTAAATGTATGCATGTGCAGCACTTTAGTGCAATGTCTGTAGAAGTCAGAAGGCACTGGATCCCTTGAAACTGGAGTTATAGGTAGGTGTAAGCCAGCATGTAGGTCAGCCAGTGTGCTCTTAACTGCTGAACTGTCTCTCCAGCCCTAAATTATCTATTTTTAATTCTAGAGTATTCTGATAAGTACCAATTATGAAATTGTAAGTCCAATAACGCACAATGTCAAGATCCCTTAAAACTCATATTTCATATTCTCATTTTGCATAAAATATACTTTAAGGTTGCTTGACAGGCTGCTAAAATCCCTCTCTATAAGAGATGGTTCAAATACAGTCAGTGAGAAAAATGTGGGGAAAGGCTGAAGAAAGGTTTTCTGGCTAGCATAAAAGTAGCAAGGCCTTCCGGAAAGCAAGCTCTTCAGGACTAGGTGATTTGCACTACTGTGTTATATGGTCAGCCTATGCTATATTACAAAAGCCTGACTCAAAAAACTAAGGGCTGCCTGGTCACCCAGAAGAACAGGATGGTGAGACCCCATTGCTGAAGAGAGCTCAGTTGCAGAACGGAGAAGCCACACCGGAACAGCACTGACGCTTCCTACCTTCTGTACAGACATCGTGGAAGCTGCTTTGCAGGCAGGTGGGGAAGAAAGATCAGCCACAGTCTTCCCCAGTTTCGGACCCTACATGCTACAGTAGCAACTTACCAGATAAGAGGTGCCTACTGATACAACATGGTGCATGTGTTATCGGGGTAACCCACTAACTTACACTTGGACCTGATGCCTGCTCCACAGAAGGAAGCGCATGCTTGGCGCTGTGCACCTCAGAAGGCCTCAAAGGCCCATGACTCAGGAGGTCAAAAGCACAAGAGGTGAGCACACAACTTTTGTTTTGCTAAGTGAACATGTCGCCAAACTGCCTTCCAAATATTTATATCTATACCCATAGACTAGGGCAGTTCTCAGCCATCATCCGGGAAGATTTTCTTTGCAGCAAGGAGCAATTAATGCAGAGACTCGTGGATGGTCAGGGTGCTGAGGACAAGAGACTGTTGGGTGTTCAGAATTAAATGGGACATTTATATCACCTCCCTCAGAAGACATCATGGGAGAAGGGGATAAAGAATGTAAGAGTCGAAGATGGACAGAAGTGTGGTGAAATACTGTCTTAGGGCATGGCACAGCGTTGAACTTGTTATCTCACAGAAGCTGTGGTGGCCTGCAAGGGTCTGCACAAGGCTGAGCCTAAAACATTCAGTCAGATGGGTGAAGGGCTCATGGGTTCCCACCTCGCCTAAGAGAAGTCCTTGAAGAGAAGTCATTGTCTTCAGAAGCCACTGTGAGTCAATCATGCCCTGATGATAGCTTCACATCCAGGCCATGAGTGGCCCTGATTAAGTGGGTCATGTGGAAAAATAGAAACAATATAAAAAGACGAGGAAGAGGGATGGGGACCTGGTGTGAGGAGTAGGGCTCTTGACGGAGGGGTAAGGAAGAGAGAGCTGGAGGGACAAGTGTGGTCAGAATCCATTATACAGGCATGAAGTTATCAAAGAATAAATTAATTTAAAATAGGAAAACAAAACCTAAGAGCACAGTGGAGGACTTGCCAAGCATTTGCAAGGCTCTGAGTTCCATCCCAGCACTCACATGACAGTGGGTTACATGTCATGTGCGGGGCTTTCTGGTTTGATGTGTATTCAATGAAAACTCTGTTTTCTTTCTTTTTTTGAAGAAATTTTCTGAGTTGAAAGAAAAGTTTGAGCTTTTTAGATTTGATTTCATCCACAATGGCTCTCTGCAAAAATGGACTGTTACAGTTGCTTCTGTATAAAGGAGTGGAGTCGCACCTGTCAAGTTATTGCTGTAACTAGCCTTTCACACCAGAGAGCAGAAGTGCCTGTGAGCCTGACTTGGAGTTCTCTTGGCTTAACCTCATCCTGCTGCAATTCAGACACAACTTATCTTTTTTAAAGTCTTTACATGTGTATGTGGTTGCATGTGCGTGCGCGTGCGTGCGTGCGTGTGCGTGTGCGTGTGCGTGTGCGTGTGCGTGTGTGTGTGTGTGCAGGCCAGAAGTCTACTTCAGGTGTCATTGCTCAGGACCCATCTATCCTAGTGTTTGAGGCAGGGTCTCTCACTGACCTGGACTCACAGAACAGGTTAGACTCTGTGGCTATTGAGGCCCAAGGAAGCTCTCATCTCCGCCTCCCCAGTGCTGGGGTTACAAGCTTGTGCCACCCAGCCCAGCTTTTCACCTGGGTTCTGGGATGGGTCTCAGGTCCTCATGTTTGTGCAACAAACATTTATGGACTGAGCCATCTCCACAGCCTGCCCCCCTTTTTAAAAATCTTTTCATTGTTCCCTGTCCCCAGTAAGTCAGAAGTGCCACTGTCTTGTCATTTCTCACCCCTATTTCCTTTTCACCAGGACACAGGTGCGGCCGACATTTTGAAATGAAGATCAAGGCAAGTTTTACCTTCACTAGGCCTGAACACATGATGTTATGAGCTCCCAGGATGTACCAACTCCCAGCCTTGATAAGATCCTGTGGTAAAAGAATCCACAAGAGCCAGGCGGTGGTGGCCCACACCTTTAATCCCAGCACTCGGGAGGCAGAGGCAGGCGGATCTCTGTGAGTTCAAGGCCAGCCTGGGCTACCAAGTGAGTTCCAGGAAAGGCGCAAAATTACACAGAGGAACCCTGTCTCGAAAAACCAAAAAAAGAAAAAGAAAAAGAAAAAAAAAGAATCCACAAGAAAGCTAGCACGAAAGACATCTCAACCTACAAGACATTAGTCACGGAAGACGTGTCCCACTACCTCTTCTGTGGTCTAGTGATAAGTAAGTCATGGGTACTGACCACACTCAGCACAGGACATCACTTAAGGGTGTGAACACCAGAAGATAAGGACTGAGGCTGAGTCTTCCCCACAGCCGTCTTCTGTAGATGGAATTCTAAACAGTCTTATTAAATAAGAAACACAGAGCCAAATACAGAGTTAAAAGCCCAAGAGGTCAGAGCACTAGCGAATAGCCTTTAGCTTACCAGTCGCTGCCGTCCTTCCCCTGAGAGAGATACCTTCTCCTGTGTGACCCATCTTTTTACTGCCTTTCTGTTCTGCCTTCTCATTGGTTCTAAACCCAACCACATGACTTCCTCCTCACTGCCTGTCTATACAGACCTCCAGGTCTTCTATGGTTGGTACTGGTATTAAAGGCGTGTGTCTACATGCTGGCTGTGTCCTTGAACACACAGAGACTTTGCCTGTCATGTGGTCGGGATTAAGGGTGTGTGCTACCACTGCCAGACTTCTGCTAAATGGCTTGCTATTAGCTCTGACCCCCAGGCAACTTTATTTATTAACATAGAAATAAAATCACATTTCAGCACAAATAAAATATCACCATAGTCTTCTGAGACTGATCAGACACATCCAAGGAGTCCTCATCCTGTACCTCAAGTCTCCTAATCTTTCACACATTCTATCTTGTGTCTTTCTGTACAAAGTCAGGCCACACCAGCATCAGAACCTACGTAAAGTCCACCCCTTCTTCATCTGTGTTTAACTCACCACCCAACTCATTTATTGAGTTCATATTTCCAGTCAGTCTGTGTAATTTATTTGGTTGTTTTCTTTTATTCAAACTATAGATGATGATCTTATACGTTATTATATTTTAATACCTTCCTGTGTTTCCTTGAGCATTTTAGTTTTTTGTTGTTTTTGTTTTGTTTTGTTTTGTTTCTTTGGGGTTTTTTTGGAACAAGGTTTCTCTGTGTAGCCCTGACTGTCCTGGAACTCATTCTGTAGACCACACTGGCCTTACACTCACTGCCTGCCTCTGCCTCTGCCTCCCAAGTGCTGGAATTAAAGGCGTGTGCCACTCCCCACCCTACCCCACCCCCACCCTGGGCTCATTTTATACTCTTTATTTATGATGTCTGCATCTGAGATGGGCCTGCTGTTAAGAGTCAGTGCTTTCCTGATTCTTATTTGTGTCACTTGTTTGGGGGGGCGGGTCATATGGTTAGGACAAAGAGCCTTGCTGGAGGAACATCCCACTGGAGTAGCCTTTTAGAGTTCATGGTGTCACACCACTTCCCGGTCTTGGCGTCATGGGGTGAGAATGTGATGCCTTGATTCCTTCTCAGGCTGCCCCATTCTTCTCTGCCATTGTGGGCTCTCCCTCTGGAAGTTTAAGCCAAATTAACTCTTCCATAAACTACTTTAGGTCATGTTACAAAAGAAAGTCACTGATACCTCCCTCCAGATCCAGGTTCACGCCATGTTTCCCACTCCATCCTTCGATAATTTAGACTGTTTTCCCAACTGACTTCTTGGAAACTCATCGGTCGTATCCCCTTTCTCTCTTACCCAAAGGTCACCTTGCTCGATTGGTTCCTCCCCCAGGACACCCTCTGCTCTCAGTTTCTGGAGACCTCTCCCTCCCTTTGTCCCTTTAAGTTTGAGGTGACACGTTGGTTGCTTTTGTCCTCACTATGGCCAAAAACTGACAAGAAGCAGCTCCAGGGAGGAAGAATTGGGTTTTGGGTCATGATTCAAGGGGTGCAGTTCATCCTGCTTGGAGGCCATGGCAGTGAGACCAGGTCCTGGCAGTGGCAGCAAGAGGCTTGCTTGCTCACATCTAGGCGGAGCGGGAAGCAGAGCTAGGAGAACGCCATTGTTGCCTTTTCCTTCTCTTACTTTATTCAACCCAGGACCTCAGCTCAAGGGATGGGACCTCTCATATTCAGTGCTCCAACCCCTCCCAGGTCACTCCTCTCTGGAAATACACTCATAGACACATGATCCGCCCCCCCTCCAAAAAAAAAAAAAAAACCTCCTGTAAAATATGAGCGTGGTGGAGCATGTCTGTAGCTGGAGTGTGGGGAGAGTGACCAGCCAGACCAGCCACGTTGGGCTCTGGGTTCAATGAGAAAACAGGAGGAAGGAGCTGCAGAGATGGCTCAGAGGTTAAGAGCACTTACAGCTCTTGCAGAGGATCCAGGTTCAGTTCCCAGCACCCACATGGCAGCTCACAGCCATCTGTACCTTCAGCCCTGTGGGGAGCTGATGGCCTATTCTGGTCTCTGTGGCACTGTGCAAATGTGCTCGTGTGTGTGTGTGTGTGTGTGTGTGTGTGTGTGTGTGTGTGTGTGTACACACACACATACATACACACACACACATGTGGACAAACATTCACACACATAAAAAAATCTTTATTTATTTTTAATTTTTAAAGATTTGTCTTGTTTTATATGCATGATGCCTCACCTACATGTTTGTGCCCTGTGTTCCTGGTGCCCATGGAGGTCAGCAGAGGACACCAGATCCCCTGGAACCGGAGTGACAGATGATTGTGAAGCCCCGGTGCTGGGAACTGAACCCGGGTCCTATGTGATAACAGCAAGCACTCTTAACCACTGAGACCCTCCAGCTTCTAAATAAATCATTAAAAAAAAAATAAAACAAGGTAGTGAGCAACTGAGATGCCTAATACTGATTTCTGACCTCCATATGCACGTGGGTACACACAACTAAAAAACATGGGCATTCATACACAAGTATGTACACACACACACACACACACACACACACACACACACACACACACCAGGGCTTGCTGTGCCTACAGAGGCAGAGATTTGTCCAGCAGAACTAGGGCTATGGTTGAGAGCGAAAGCACACAGCCATGATGTCTACCAGACAGGCTGACTAGTGTCCTTAGAAATGTCTATTGTTTGTGGGAACTGTTATGTATGGAGTGAGGCAGCCAGAGAGTGAGGAAACTCTCACCATCCCAAAGGTTCCTTGAATCTAGTTTTTTGCCCAGAGTCCCCCCTCCCCCCAGGTAGACTTTGGGGACCACAAACTGAGGATGACCAGACGCAGAAAAAAGACTGAGTCAGGTGGCAGCTAAGTAACAGAATGGCCTTCCTAAACCCCCATCTCTCGGGGCCAGCATGAAGTTCCAGACCTGCTGATTCCTCCTTCCTGTTGAGGAGGGCTGGCTTTCCCAGAGCCTCTGTTGGCTGAAGCGATTGGCTCTGAGAAAATGGCCGTGCTGGTTTCCGTGGGTGGCTTTATTCTGAATTCCCATATAAAAATGTTTCTTTTCAGTCAACCATGAGCCACGTGTTCATTCAATGACAGTACTAAGAGATGACATCTGGTAGTGACGCAGGTCCCTCTCAGTTTGCGTAAGGGCTACCCTGTGATGTTCAGATAATGACAGAATGCTCCATTGACTCCTTTCTCAGGTAAAACCCCTCTGAGGAGAGACGCATGACTGTACGCTATATATATCTTCATAGAGAATAAGAACTGTTGACTAGGAATGGAAATTGAGAACTATTTTTAAAATACTCTTTTTTTTTTTAATTTTACAATTCCATTCAGTTCTACATATCAGCCACGGGTTCCCCTATTCTCCCCCCTCCCACCCTCTTCCCTTACCCCAGCCCACCTCCCATTCCCACCTCCTCCAGGGCAAATCCTCCCCCCCCCCAGGACTGCAATCAGCCTGGTAGACTCAGTCCAGGCAGGTCCAGTGCCTTCCTCCCAGACTGAGCCAAGTGTCCCTGCATAAGCCCCAGGTTTCAAACAGCCAACTCATGCAATGAGCACAGGACTCGGTCCCACTGCCTAGTTGCCTCCCAAATTGATCAAGCCAATCAACTGTCTCACCTATTCAGAGGGCCTGATCCAGCTGGGGGCCCCTCAGCCTTTGGTTCATAGTTCAT